GCCAAGGATGCGGAACCAGGTTAGCAAGACATCATATCATTTTACATCAGTTTGATAGTTTAATATAAGTACATTTTGATATTTGTTAGAATATAATTTTAAGAAAATGAAAAAAATATAACAATTTTAAATATATAGTTTATTTATCAAGGAGGCATTAAATTGATCAAAAGTGACAGTAAAAACATTTATAATATTTTCAACATTAATAATAATAAGGATCATGTGACACTGAAAACTGGAGTAATGACTGCTGAATTCCTTTCCCTCATTTAAAAGTTTTTTTACAAAGACATTTTGAAATATATGTTTAAACTTGGATGAAATGAAGACTCCAGACTCATGTTTATGTGTTGTGTTTCACTCTCAGCATGTAATCTAGGTGAGGAAGACATGTTAGTTCTAGAGCTGTTGCAGTGGTTCAAAGGGGACTTCTTTTCTTGGGTGGACAATCTGCCATGTAGCCGATGTGGAGGTGCAACCCAGCCTTCCGGATCCCTCCCCCCCTCAAATGATGACCTACGCTGGGATGCAGGCCGTGTAGAAAACCACTATTGTCACACCTGCCAACTCTCTACTAGATTCCCAAGGTACATCAGCTTTTTCATTACTATCAGCAAGTTGCACTGTTAAAGAGATAGTTCACCCAAAAATGAAAATTTGATGTTTATCTGCTTACCCCCAGGGCATCCAAGATGTAGGTGACTTTGTTTCTTCAGTAGAACACAAACTGAGATTTTTAACTCAAACCGTTGCAGTCTGTCAGTCCTATAATGTCAGTGGATGGGAATCCCGGCATTGAGAGTCAAAAAAACATACACAAACAAAACCAAAATAAACCCTGTGGCTCGTGACGATACATTGATTCATGTGTCTTGCACTGAGGAGAGGCTTCTGTCGGGCCACTCTGCCATAAAGCCCCGACTGGTGGAGGGCTGCAGTGATGGTTGACTTTCTACAACTTTCTCCCATCTCCCGACTGCATCTCTGGAGCTCAGCGACAGTGATCTTTGGGTTCTTCTTTATCTCTCTCACCAAGGCTCTTCTCCCCCGATAGCTCAGTTTGGCTGGACGGCCAGCTCTAGGAAGGGTTCTGGTTGTCCCAAACGTCTTCCATTTAAGGATTATGGAGGCCACTGTGCTCTTAGGAACCTTAAGTGCAGCAGAAATTTTTTTGTAACCTTGGCCAGATCTGTGCCTTGCCACAATTCTGTCTCTGAGCTCTTCAGGCAGTTCTTTTGACCTCATGATTCTCATTTGCTCTGACGTGCACTGTGAGCTGTAAGGTCTTATATGGACAGGTGTGTGGCTTTCCTAATCAAGTCCAATCGGTATAATCAAACACAGCTGGACTCAAGTGAAGGTGTAGAACCATCTCAAGGATGATTAGAAGAAATGGACAGCACCTGAGTTAAATATGTGAGTGTCACAGCAAAGGGTCTGAATACTTTGGACCATGTGATATTTCAGTTTTTCTTTTTTAATAAATCTGCAAAAATGTCAACAATTCTGTGTTTTTCTGTCAATATGGGGTGCTGTGTGTACATTAATGAGGAAAAAAAATTAACTTAAATGATTTTAGCAAATGGCTGCAATATAACAAAGAGTGAAAAATATAAGGGGGTCTGAATACTTTCCAAAAACGATATAAATACTGTTCAGTTTCTTGCACAGACAGATCGTTTCGTGTCTTAAGACCTCAATGTATCGTCACGAGCCGCAGGCTTTGATTTGGTTTTGTTTGTGTATGTTTTTTTTTTTACTCTCAAAGCCGTGATTCCCATTCACTTCCATTATAAGACTGACAGACTGCAACGGTTTGAGTTAAAAATCTTCGTTTGTGTTCTACTGAAGAAACAAAGTCACCTACATCTTGGATGCCCTGGGGGTAAGCAGATAAACATCAAATTTTCATTTTTGGGTGAACTATCCCTTTAATGTAGTACACATTTTGAAGGTTCATTAACCTGTATGGAATGTTATACAATTTTATTCTGTACTACCCCTGTTGAATGAATAAATAGGCACAAGTAGTTCATCCAAAAATGTTGTCATCATTTACTCACCCTTATGTCACTGCAAACCTGAATGACTTTCTTTCTTGTTCCTGTATCCAGTTTCGGACAAAAGGACAATAATACCACAACAGTAGTCCATATAACATTGCTGTGAAAGAGCAGTGTTATTCATGTCAGTTACAAATTGACTTTTTTTCCTTTCCCAGGTACAATCACCCAGAGAAGCTTCTGGAGACCAGAAGAGGGCGTTGTGGGGAATGGGCCAACTGTTTCACGCTGCTCTGCCGAGCTTTAGGCCTTGAGGCCAGATACATCTGGGACAGCACAGGTACAAATCTTACAGCATTACTGTACCACAATGATATAATTTGTGAATAGAAACACTCAGTTTGGTCCTGCTTTCAGATCACGTGTGGACGGAGGTGTATTCTCAGTCGCAGCATCGCTGGCTACACTGTGACCCTTGTGAAAACACATGCGATAAACCCCTCCTGTATGAAGTCGGCTGGGGGAAGAAACTCTCCTACATCCTGGCATTCTCTAAGGACCAGGTTGTGGATGTGACATGGAGGTACTCCTGTAAACACCCAGAGGTCCTTTCCAGACGCACACAGATTCAGGAGACATGGCTGCTGCCTACGCTTAACGGTCTCAACGCTGCGGTACGTTTCTCATTTTCATGTACTCTTCCAAAGTGCAGCTCCTTTCATTTTTGCCTCAAACAAATGAATCTGACTGTCATTACCGCTTCACACCTGTAGAGGCAGCAGTCTCTAGGAGCAGAGAGGAAGCAGCAGCTGTTGCAAAGACTGCTGGTGGAGCTGGTAGAGTTTATTTCTCCAAAGACTCCTACATCTGGAGAGCTGGGAAGTCGCGTCTCAGGATCTCTGGCTTGGAGGGTGGCTCGAGGGGAGTCTGGGGCAAGTGACACTGAAGGGGTGAGATGCTTGTCTATAGAACTCATTTTTACTGATTATGCCATTGGAGTGATACATATACTGTATATATCTCACTCCAATGGCATAATCAGTAAAAATTAGTTTAGTTTATGTGTGTGTGTGTGTGTGTGTGTATTAACTTACCTTTTATGTATGTTTTCTCCCAGGATGGACAGGAACGTGTCTTCATTCCTTCAGAATCTGAAAAGAAAAACAAGTTGTTCCACATTTGCTATAATGTGACCAAAAACTCTTACTTCAGACTGAGCAATGGCCAAGAGACTATCCCAGGATGGCAGAGAGGTGCTTGGAGGACAGAAAATATGTTCAGGAAAGAAGAGAATGACTGGCAGATGGTTTGTTTCTTTTAGCTGTGTATTTTTTGAAGAAAATACCTTTTCTTATATAACCAATATTAGTGATAAATTTAGTTTTTTGTCTAATTCTACTTATTTTTTAAATAAATGACATATTTAATGCTAATGTTTATTTCTTTTCTTTTTTTATTTTATATTTGAATTTTAATTCATTATATTTTTATAATACTGTTCAATCTGGTAGCATCATTTGTTTAGTTGTATACTTTTGTTTTCTATAAATTCATGATGTGTTTTAATTGTCTCTCTTTGGCAGAGTAAAATAGATTTATTATACGCTACCGTTCAAAAGTTTGGGGTTGTTAAAATTTTTAAATGTTTTTGAAAGAACGCTGAAAGAATGTTCTTTAATGAATAGAACGCTCAAAGGAACATTATTTATTGGAAATAGCAATTTTGCAACATTATAAATGTCTTTACTATCACTTTTAACTTATAATGAAAGTAATTTTGTCTTTGCTGAATAAAAGTATTAAAATCTTACTGACCCTAAAGTTTTGAATAGCCATTAAATGAAAGTCAGTATCGACCTATCGTACCAGCATCGGTGCATTTCTACTTGTAGGCCTTTCTACCATATTAGCCATTGTCCTCTTAAACGTATTTATTTGGGTTTAAATGCAGTACTTACAGTGCTGGTTCTGTGATTGTAGGTGTATTTGGCACGAACAGAGGGCTCTTCCTTTGGGAGGATAAGCTGGAAATTTAACTGCGCTCCAGTAGGAATGAAGATAAAGTCTGCTTCGGTCCGAGCCTTCAGCCAGACCTTCCATTCAGGCAGCGTGCGTTGGAGTTTACGCTCTGCCGAGACCACCATAGAGTTCCCTGGAGGTATGAGTCTCACTGTTTGATGCATCAGCTCTGTGCTTTGTGTATCAGGTTGAATCACTGCTCTCTGAGCTTCAAGAGCTCATTTCTGAAATGGGTTTTTAAATGTAACATGATTGCCAGTAATTAAGCCCGATTATGATATTAGTAATCGGTTTGTTTTCACAGATGGTGAACTGCTCTCCTCTTCAAGTCTGTCCGGAGGCAATGAGCTGATTGTGGAGGTGGAGCTCACAGGAGGAGAGGGTGAAGTGTCATGGCAACACGTTCAGCTCTTCAGACAGAGTTTAAAAGACACGGAGAAAGTTTTATTTGAAATCATGGTTGAAATGGATGAGTCTTGATGAGAGATTAGCATGTATACATCTCTTGCAAGTACACATGTGAAATACTGAGGAAATGTTTCATCAAAAGTAAGTTTTTACTTTCCTTTCAGAAATATTTGACTGTAAATTTCTCTGGCTAGCTGGTCGGTTCTGAAAATTTAACTTTTTATTGTAACGTCAAATAAATGTGATGTGACTAAACTTGAAAATGTAAAATCGGGCGTTTTATTGTTGAGTTTTAGGCATCATTTTAAAACTGACTGTGCATCATCCTTTCCTGTTCATAAGTGTAATGATATGACCTTTTAGCCAGACATTCAATTATTTAATTCTTCAGTTGTGCTTGAACTTTTTACCACATTACAGTTGGACTACTTAAGGGAACAGTTAACCCCAAAATAAAATATTCTAAAAATGTACTCACCCGTGGGCATCCAAGATGTAGATGAGTTTGTTTCTTCTTTGGAACGAATTTGGAGTAATGTGTGTGTGTGTGTGTGTGTGTATTAACTTACCTTTTATGTATGTTTTCTCCCAGGATGGACAGGAACGTGTCTTCATTCCTTCAGAATCTGAAAAGAAAAACAAGTTGTTCCACATTTGCTATAATGTGACCAAAAACTCTTACTTCAGACTGAGCAATGGCCAAGAGACTATCCCAGGATGGCAGAGAGGTGCTTGGAGGACAGAAAATATGTTCAGGAAAGAAGAGAATGACTGGCAGATGGTTTGTTTCTTTTAGCTGTGTATTTTTTGAAGAAAATACCTTTTCTTATATAACCAATATTAGTGATAAATTTAGTTTTTTGTCTAATTCTACTTATTTTTTAAATAAATGACATATTTAATGCTAATGTTTATTTCTTTTCTTTTTTTATTTTATATTTGAATTTTAATTCATTATATTTTTATAATACTGTTCAATCTGGTAGCATCATTTGTTTAGTTGTATACTTTTGTTTTCTATAAATTCATGATGTGTTTTAATTGTCTCTCTTTGGCAGAGTAAAATAGATTTATTATACGCTACCGTTCAAAAGTTTGGGGTTGTTAAAATTTTTAAATGTTTTTGAAAGAACGCTGAAAGAATGTTCTTTAATGAATAGAACGCTCAAAGGAACATTATTTATTGGAAATAGCAATTTTGCAACATTATAAATGTCTTTACTATCACTTTTAACTTATAATGAAAGTAATTTTGTCTTTGCTGAATAAAAGTATTAAAATCTTACTGACCCTAAAGTTTTGAATAGCCATTAAATGAAAGTCAGTATCGACCTATCGTACCAGCATCGGTGCATTTCTACTTGTAGGCCTTTCTACCATATTAGCCATTGTCCTCTTAAACGTATTTATTTGGGTTTAAATGCAGTACTTACAGTGCTGGTTCTGTGATTGTAGGTGTATTTGGCACGAACAGAGGGCTCTTCCTTTGGGAGGATAAGCTGGAAATTTAACTGCGCTCCAGTAGGAATGAAGATAAAGTCTGCTTCGGTCCGAGCCTTCAGCCAGACCTTCCATTCAGGCAGCGTGCGTTGGAGTTTACGCTCTGCCGAGACCACCATAGAGTTCCCTGGAGGTATGAGTCTCACTGTTTGATGCATCAGCTCTGTGCTTTGTGTATCAGGTTGAATCACTGCTCTCTGAGCTTCAAGAGCTCATTTCTGAAATGGGTTTTTAAATGTAACATGATTGCCAGTAATTAAGCCCGATTATGATATTAGTAATCGGTTTGTTTTCACAGATGGTGAACTGCACTCTTCTTCAAGTCTGTCCGGAGGCAAAGAGCTGATTGTGGAGGCGGAGCTCACAGGAGGAGAGGGTGAAGTGTCATGGCAACACGTTCAGCTCTTCAGACAGAGTTTAAAAGACACGGAGAAAGTTTTATTTGAAATCATGGTTGAAATGGATGAGTCTTGATGAGAGATTAGCATGTATACATCTCTTGCAAGTACACATGTGAAATACTGAGGAAATGTTTCATCAAAAGTAAGTTTTTACTTTCCTTTCAGAAATATTTGACTGTAAATTTCTCTGGCTAGCTGGTCGGTTCTGAAAATTGAACTTTTTATTGTAACGTCAAATAAATGTGATGTGACTAAACTTGAAAATGTAAAATCGGGCGTTTTATTGTTGAGTTTTAGGCATCATTTTAAAACTGACTGTGCATCATCCTTTCCTGTTCATAAGTGTAATGATATGACCTTTTAGCCAGACATTCAATTATTTAATTCTTCAGTTGTGCTTGAACTTTTTACCACATTACAGTTGGACTACTTAAGGGAACAGTTAACCCCAAAATAAAATATTCTAAAAATGTACTCACCCGTGGGCATCCAAGATGTAGATGAGTTTGTTTCTTCTTTGGAACGAATTTGGAGTAATTTAGCATCACATCACTTGCTCACCAGTGAATCCCCTGCGGTAAAATCGGGCGTTTTATTGTTGAGTTTTAGGCATCATTTTAAAACTGACTGTGCATCATCCTTTCCTGTTCATAAGTGTAATGATATGACCTTTTAGCCAGACATTCAATTATTTAATTCTTCAGTTGTGCTTGAACTTTTTACCACATTACAGTTGGACTACTTAAGGGAACAGTTAACCCCAAAATTTGGAGTAATTTAGCATCACATCACTTGCTCACCAGTGAATCCCCTGCGGTGAATGGGTGCCGTCAGAATGAGAGTCCAAACAACTGATAAAAAAACATCGCAATAATCCACACGACTCCAGTCCATCAATTAACGTCTTAAGAAAAGTTGCATTTGTAAGAAACGGATCCACCGCTGCTTCTGGACAAAATGCCAGATCAAGTAGTGAGCAAGTGATATAATGTTAAACTTCTCCAAATCTGTGCTGAGGAAAAAAACTTCTCTAAATCTTGGATGACCTGGGGGTGAGTACATTTTCATTTCTAGGTGAACTATGCATTACATAAAAGATACAGTTGTCTACTCATTTAATTTAATCTAGAAGCACAGTTTGTGATGTTAAGTACGCCCACTGTAATGAAAAATCTATTTTCTCAATGCAAATAAAATAATACTCTTCGGTAATGAAAATAGCAGGATCAGTGCACAGACTGACAGCTGGTGTGTGGATCACTGCAATCACAGACAAGCGGAGTGATGTCACACTTAATATTATTCTTGGAATGCTGCTCCGCTAATCAGATTAAAGGACCAGAACTAACTGTTGTATAAGTAACAGATAACATACAGTCAGTCAGTCAGTAGCTCGGTCAGGACCCACACGTGAATCAGGCGGCTAATTGACAAATACATAAACGCTGGCAATACTGATTTGAAATTATTTTATTATCTTGTGAAGATCGCGAAGAGATAGAACACGAGCACAGCTATGTAGGAAACAGGTATCCTGGATGAGCAAGTAAGCTTTCTTTACTTGGCTTTATAGTATTGGAAACACCGTTGAGAGCATTGTGCTACATGGTGAAATGCTAGACTAGACCAGCAAATTTTGAACAAATCCAGGAACTCCAGTCTGTTGCCTCATTTTCAATAAAAACAAAAACAGACATATGCATTTTCTGCTTAATAACATACCTAAATTGGTCAGCAAACAAAAATGGCATCCGAATAAATGATAAAATATACATAAACGTGTAATAACTCAAGAAATGAATGATTGTGATTTTTTTCTTTAACAGTTTCTGTATCTAAAAAAGTGCAAGAACAAAAAACAGAAAAAGAATTGTGCAGTTTGTGCAACATTACCCTCTACTAAAACAGTCCAACACAAAAGTAGACATTTCTTTCACATTAGTTGCTCTAAATATTTAATAATTCTATAACATATGCCATGTCTTTAAAAGCAAGGGTACAAAGACCTTAAAATAGCTTTATCCCCCATCCCCCCCAAATGTAGTACAAAGCCCATCTCTTAATTATTTAAAAGTACAAATATTTTAGAAAACAACAATAGTGCGAGTCATTGCACGTGTCACCTTTACATACAAAGGCTGTATGTTTTCATTAGAAGCACAGCCATAAAGATGAAGCATATTAAGACAGGGAATGCTCCTCATTACGCCACGCTCTGATAAAGACCGCAAATGTTTCTGATTAGGAATCTTCATTGTATCAATACAAGTATTTATCACCATTTCTTTAGGTTTAATAATAAATAAGTGCTGTTTGAAGGTATGACATTAGGTAATTAGAGTAATTTTTCTTGGCTGAGTTGTAGGCCACATCCTTCGCTACTATATAAAATATACAGGTTTTTTTTTTCATAAAATTGTATCTATATAAACAGATTTTTACTATTATATACACACACTAGCAAGAACACATGCACACCAAAAGCATCCAGCCATACATACCGTAAAATTTTTCCGCAGAAGGAATTTTTAAGACAGGAAAAAGACTTTTCACACATGGTAGTCATGTTGATATTCACATGCCCCAAATACTTATCTTTATAGAAATGGTTCACCCAAAAATAACAATTTCCTGAAAATGTAATAACCCTCAGGCCATCCAAAATGTAAATGTGTTTTTTGCTCATCACAGCAGATTTGGAGAAATTTAGCATTACATTATTTGCTCACCAATGGATCCTCTGCAGTGAATGGGTGCCGTCAGAATAAGAGTCCAAACAGCCGATAAAAACATCACAATAATCCACAGGACTCCATCAGTTAATGCCTTGTGATGCTTTAATGATGGATTTGTTTCTTACAAACAGCTTTTTGATTCATAAGAATCGTGTGGATTACTTGTGATGCTTTTAACAGATATTTTGACTCTCATTCTGACGGCTGCTGAGTATCCACTGGTGAGCAAGTGATGAAATGCTAAATTTCTCCAAATTTTTACAGATTACAAACAATCTTGGCTGGCCTGAGGTTACATTTTCAGCAAATTTGAATTTTTGGGTGAACTATTCCTTTAAATGTCTTCATTTCAGAAAACCCTCCCTTTGATGCAAAAACAATGGGGATAAAAAGGAGTTATATAATACATGTGGAGAAAAGAGGTAGAAAGGGAACCGGACTACTTGCGCCCCCTGGCTGGATTACTTATCGATGAGGCCCGCCTCTTTGATCTTGGTGTAGAAGAATTTCTCTAGTAGGTTGGCACATTTGTAGTACTCGCTTTCAGGAGGGTTGTACTCTCTGCAGTTAGTGAAGATCCTCTGCATGTCGGCCATGAACAGCTTCCGTGTGGTATAGTAACGACTCTTCAGACGCTCGCTCATTGTCTTCAAGTCTACAATGCACAATATAACAGTCAGGCATTACATGCTCAGAAGTAAGCCTAAGGTGCATTGTGTATAAGAGATCTCTGCGTACCCATAGGGAAGCGGATGACTTGATAATAACCAGGTGCCTCGTTCTTCTTTACAGGCTCCATGAAGGGCCATGCATTCTGGTGTGACTGAGGAGTACAATACATATTCCTAATTAGTCGTTTTATTTCATAAATATAATTTTGAAAACATGTAAGCAATACAGATATATTACCTTGACCTGCTGTAAGATGTTCTTTAAGGTGCTGTACAACTGGTCTGGATCCTTCAGCTCTTTGCTGTGAAAAAGTACACAAAATGAAACAAACTACATGTTTACATAAGATTTGTTTAGCTGTGACTCAGATACACACTCACCTCTTCCCTAAAGGCTTCCAGCCCGTCTCACCTGTTCAAAGACAAGTAAACAGTAACGTTTAAATTCAATTTATTGATTTAAATATATTATTTACTATTAAATACAATTAGTATTTATTCAGTACTGTTCAAAAGTAAGGGACAAGTAAGATTTTTAAAAAAAGAAATTAATACTTTTATTTTGCAAAGAATGCATGAAATACATCAAAAGTGACAGTGAATTTCAGATTTCAATTTTTTGTTTAAATGCCGTTCTTTTGAAGTATCTATACATCAAAGCATCCTGACATCACTGTTTCCACAAAAAAAAATATTAAGCAGCACAACTGTTTTTAACATTGAGAATGATAAGAAATGTTTCTTGAGCAGCAAATTAACATATTAGAATGATTTCTGAAGGATCGTGTGACACTGAAGACTGGAAAAATTCAGCTTTTCCATTATAGGAATAAACTGCATTTTAAAATCTATTCAAATAGAACACAATACATTTATTTAAAATGGTAATATTTATTATTAAAATTGTATTATTGTTATTAATTAAAGAATTACATAAAATACATAAAATATTTTATTAATATTATTATTATAAATTTTTATACATACATTATTATACATTTTTTATTCGTTTTTGTTTTATTTATCTAAAACTACATAAAAGTGAGACATACGAATTCCTGGAATGCTCTCAATGGCAATCTGACGAACTCCCTCCTTGAAACAGGATAGGCCAGGGTAGACTTTCCGAATCTGTGCTTGCTTGCGCTCTATAAGCTTCTTAATGATCTGAGAGAGAGGGGAAGATAGAGATAGAAAAGCCTTTAGGCAATAACAAAACGATGCATTTTACCATACTGTGTAACCTCTTTGACACACCTCAGATCTCATGCTCTCTCACACTCACACACACACACACACACAGACCTCTTTCTGTTTCTTGATGATGACAGAGAACTCAGTGTAAGGGATGCAGGGGTTCAGTTCACAGCCCATGAGTGTGGCCCCCTCGTAATCTTTAATGTAGCCCACATACTTTGACTTCGGCACTTTAATGTCCTTAGAGAATCCCTGACATGAAGCAAGAGAAACAAAATAGGAGTATGGACATATACTTAAAGCGATAGTACCTAAAAAAACCTCCTCATTATTATCCTTATGTTGTTATAACCCAGCATTGTTCTTCTTCATCATATTCTTATTAAAAATATTACATTAGTTTTCATTTCATTTTCATTTGTGAAACAAAAGAAGATGCTAAGCAGAACATCCACACTTTGTCATTTTTGGAGCTTGGCAATATAATTCACCATCCACTTTAGT